GGAAGTAAGAAAGGTGCTAAGTGCCATAATTTCATGAATTGAGATTGCCGTAGAACGGTGTTGAACGATATGCTTTATGACCTGACAAAAGCTGTAAGTGCCATGAGTAATATTATCCTTCCTACAACAACAATTAGATTGCGCCAGTGGTAAGCGACAACGGTTATTTGCCATCAAAGGAGACAAGTGTCAGAGTGAATTGCTGTATTGTCAAATTATTAGTCACGCTCGTACGAAGTAGCTGTCAACACGTATGTTGTTTGTCCAATTACACATTGAAATAATACTCATATTTTCATTTGATAGAAACGAGGAGAGAAAATCTCAAATAATCAAGTAAAATGAATGTACCACCTCCATGATTAATCTACAGGCAGTATTAAAAGGAAAAACTGTTAGAGATTCAATGGAGGTTGAACTTTTTGGACTCCAACCAGCAAACAAAATATCAGAAAACAAAAAAAGTCCCCGCTTTATGTTGCCCTATCTGAGTAATCCACTGCACCAAGATTTTTACAAAGAACTGCTAAGCATTTCTAGAGTCCCTGTATATACCTTAGACAAGAGTCCGGACACAGCTATTCTTCTGTCCTTTTCTGTTTTAAAAAAATGCATTGATGATTGAATAAAGGAATAAGACATATATATCGAGCTCTGTCTTCTCAATTCCCCTAGGATCAATGATTGTCAGAAAAAATTTTGAGGGTTAGATTATTTGTCAAACCGTTCATAGCCGTAGGTAGAAGTGAGAAATAGGGCTATTTTAACAAGAATTACTATTAGATTTTCAAATAATGAACAACAGGGTGTTCAAATTTCGAATCGATAATTTTCATAATCAATTCCTGAGATGGCTATTGCAAATTTTCGTCATCAGATATTTCTTCACTTCATTAGATATAAGAAAGATAATTTGAGTGTTCTACGTGGTATCACATATAGCCAATAAAATATATTTTTTTTTGTTGGGATATAAAAAAATAGAAGATATATAATTGTTTCAATATAATTTTAATTGTGTCAGTTTCCCACTTCTTCCTGCAGTCTACATTCACCTGTAAATTTTGAATTTGGTTTAAATTAAAAACACCGTGGACTGTTGACAGCACATTACAATTTCTCTAAATCTTCTAGTTTTGATTTCAAACTGTCGATTTCTTTCCGCATCATCTCATTCTCATTAACTTTCTCTGCGATCGTATCATTCAGTAATTCCCAATACGATGACGACGGAACTCTTTTTTCGAACGTCTCTATTTTATAAATTGACGGCACAGCAGACTCTCTTAATTTGAAATCCATCAGTTTGAAAGAATCTCTATCAAAATGGGCCTAAAATTCATCTTTTTTGTACTGTTATTTCAAGTGAATTTGAATATTTACCTCACATATTGCGGATTTCCTGAAATTAATGTTCCATTCTGGACGTTTCATTGCATTCTTCCATGACATTATCTTTAAAGGATCATTCGGAAAATTGAATAACTTGAATCCCTTTCCTAATGAATTATCGCAAAAATGTACGCAGCAGGACATTGAAATAATTTAAAATGCTAAATTTTGGCGGTCATAAACAGTGACAGTGGCAGAAATTCGAAATAATTGAAGAAGCGGGCGGGACGACTATGGTGTTTCGTCACATTGTCAGGTGGACAAACACGGGCGTACCCAGCGAGGGGCAGGGGGGGCAGCTGCCCCCCCCTAGAAGTCATCCTGCCACTTGACTTTTTCCCGAATACTGAAAATTTTGTATCTTAATCATGATTGAGCAAAATAATGATGTTTCATAAAGAAAGATTTTGAATATTTTTGTTGAAGTATTGTGTTTTTATATCAGTTCTGATTACAAATTCATAAATAGCTTAAATAAGTCGCTTATCGCAAAGAACATAATTTGATCGCAAGAACCAACAAAAAAGTAACCTAAATTGCGATAAATCGCGGTATCTGGCAACGCTGTTGCTATCGTACCCGTATACCCGTTTGTATATTCGATATGGTTTAAAAACTTGTGATGCTTGTGAACGAATATTTTATTTGCGATGAAGTCGCAGATCTGTATGATGTTGAACTAGAAATATGAGTTGATACATGGTTATGGTTTGACAGGTTTATGAACGTGTGACAAGATCAAGGACAAACCTAAATACGATCGAAAATAATGTATGTTGTGATTTACCAATGTGCCTACCTATAGGTATAGGAAAATTCACCTATATTCATTTTGTTTTGTTATTTTTTCATTCTAACCAGAATCTGAATAAATAAAGTTTTCTACGATTTTTTATCTGATGATATAAACTAACTGAAAATGATGGAATATGATCAAAAATGTCGCTAAATCACGAAAAAAAGTCGCTAAATTTCCAAAAATTTCGACTGCGGCGGACTTTCTGCTCGCTTCGCTCGCTTTGGCGACATCTGGCGGTTTTTTTCCTAACTTTTGGTGACATATCATCTTCAGCAGCTGGCAACACTGTTTGTTACATTCTGGCTTAGGAGCACTATGAGTGAGACAAGGCTGACTGGATTATGCTTGATGAGCGTACATCGGAATTTTGTGGAAGAAAACCGTAAAATGGTGGAAACAAAAGTAATGGAAAAATTTGCAGCGAACTCGAGAAGATTATTATTAAGATGAAAATATAATAAAAAACAGTAAATTGAAATACTTATGTTCATTAAGATTTAAAAAAAACGTCTCAGTTGAAGCATGGCATGTCTAGTGATTGATACTGATTCTCGGTAGTTTCTAGTTCCCTTGCCTGAGCTGCCCCCCCCTAGTTCAGATCCTGGGTACGCCCTTGTGGACAAACCAAATGAAACAAAATATTAAAAACCCCAACGGCTGTCAGTTTTGTGTCCGGACTTGTCTAAGGTATATACAGGGACTCTAAGCATTTCAATGGATTAGCAATGATTTGTGATGTCATCTTGTTGAAAACATGTATAATTGTGACACCTCGATCTTTTGTCATTTTTGTTATTATTGAGATCAATGCCAGTTTTGCTATTGTCTATATCCTTATTTTCAAATTTGAAAAACTCCAAAACGTATCAGCAATTCTTCCTGATCCTATTTTGTTGAAAAAAAATGTGGCACTCACCTCGTTTCTATTTTTTTTAAGAAATATATTTTATTTTCAGCTGTGTTCCATAACAGATATTGGTATTAGTTATAATTGGTTTTCCGTTGACCTTATATACGATTTTTGATGATAATATACGAAAAAAACAAAATTTGACGTTTTTATTACTTTTTTCTTATCTCGAAACTTCAATTTTGGTACTTAGCACCTTTGCTACTTCAATTCGCACTAGAGGACATTCGAATCGGTGAACGTGACAAAACAGCGCATGACTTGTCGGCGTGGTCTTGTCAGTTCCAAGCATTCAGCATAATGTTGCCAAATCTCCAACATTTACATGATATTTTGTTATGGAGGATAAGAAATATTTGGACATGCTGGTTGCTCGAAAAAGTAAAGAATAAACTATAATAGCATGGGTTCCTTCTATTATGTTTGATTCAACAGCAGGACTAACATCTTTTTGATAACTTGATTATAATTGGTACCTGACAACCTTGCTTCATGAGTGGAAATGGAACATTATCTGACCAATAACGGAACAGCATACAAACTCACGTCACCATTTATTCGACGTCTCGCAAAATGGCGGCCATGGAGGTTCGTTTGAAATGAGCCCATTATTTAGTGAGTTCCACAAAAAAGTAGCGTTCGCGAGAACCGCAAATCTCTTTCTTTGAACATGAGAGATATATCCCGTGAGGACATCGAAAATGGGACAGCCTGTATATATATGGAAGTCTCGAGTATTTCTTTTGCGCAGAATCTGTTCGGTTGCAGAGTGGGAATAAACATATTGTTAGTTTGTGTAAAAACTTCACAAACGATAAGATTTCCACAAAATTCTTGAACACACATGTTTCGAAAACAGTAGCTTCGTCAAGTGATATACTGGTTACCAGTATATCACGTGAGGAAGCTACTGTGTTAGCGAAACATGTTATGTGTTTAAGAATTTTGTGAAAATCGTATCGTTTGTGAAGTTTTTACATTTGCCATGGATTTCCATCCATTAACGCCGAAACGGCCGAGGCAATTCAAAAATTGTTAGGTTATGTTAGAAATGTTGCGTACCTCAACGTAGTCACTAAAATACCATTTCATCCTGTTGCTCAAGCTGTAATGACCAATCACAGTGTAATGTACAATATACATACAGAAAGCGAGTTTAGAACCAATTTGGAAAATCGATCTGGTCAATATCCAGTTGACAATTCCTGAAAAAAATGTAGATTCAAGAAGTATGAAATAAGTAGAGCTCATAAAATTTTGCTATGTATAATTTTTAACTCTTCTGGGTTCTGACATCCCGAAATTTTTCAGTATCGAGGCAATCAAATAGTATTCTATAACGTAGTTTAGATTCAATGGTTCTACAAGCCCCTCATTAAAACAAACACAAACTAATCCATGAAACTTTTCTTGATTCACTTCTACATCAAGTTGAACATCAAAATCGAACTCAAGAATCAGAAAAATATCACCCATTTCAAATTATATACAGGGTGTCCGGAGATGGAACCGACAAAACTCATGGGGTCATAGGGCATGTCAATATGATTGCAAAATGCCATATACGCTTCGTTACTGACATACAGGGTGATCTGTGGATTGACACAAGAAAGTCAATCTGTCATATTAAATAAAGAAATAAATCAACTGATTGATTTCAAGTTTAGTACAAGAACAAAACTCAAAGGCTTCAACAAGTAGTTCTTTGAACGAAACCAATATCAGGACCAGAATATAATTTTTCTCCTATGTTGTGTTATTGTGAGAATAACTCACCCTGTACAGTAATTATCAAGAATCTGAGGTCATTTTAGGAATCTACGGAAAAATACCAGAGGAACTCGTTGAGGAAGTGTCTGGCACAATTTCAGTCATTCCGTAATAAATCATTATTTTAATTTCCTTCATTAATTATTATCTGAAAATAAAGATCATCCGAAATGGAAATATGATATTTATGATGAATATTAACGAAACTAAGATATATACTTGTTGTTATTCTCTTCGATTACTTCGTAGAAATATTCTATAAATTACTCTTGTTCAAGTACAGGATATGTCCTTTTTTTTTACTTGTTTCTTTAACGTCGGCCTTTTTCTGCTACTGAGGCTAATCACCGACGCCGGTGAGCACACAATACCCCCAACCGGAAATTTTGCCGAATCCAGAGCACTCCAGAGGTAGGGATCTTTAACGAGTCCACCATCCATGGCCTCGGGACCGCCGGCTCAACGTCCCCTCCGAAGGACGGCATATCCGAACCCATATCGTGTGCTCATTGATATGATAGCTGTAGCTATGATATGTATGCTATTCCGCTACAGATGTACAGGGTGATTCACCATAAATGTCCCCCCGTCTAGTTCACTTATTTTTGAACCGATTTGAAAATTTGAAAGATCATCTAAAATGATTTTCCATAATTTGTTTTTCCGTTGCATCAGAAAATACAGGGTGCTCGGAACGAACGATCTACAGAGTACTACTTGATTTTTTCAAATGAAACACCCTGTATTCCATTGTATTTTTAGATTCTCCCTAAAGAGTTGATTTTATCAATGCATCACACTTGGGGTCTATCGTGAATGATTACAGAGATATAGGGTGTTCAAAATCGAGATTTTTCAACTTGAGTATTTTTTTGTGTCGAAACTATTCATTATTGGTCAAAACGGCTCCAATGTCCCTATCTCAACTTTTGATTTACTATCTACTGAAATTTAATTGGAACATATACAGTGTGGTTCAAGATTCAGAATTCTGATCACCCTGTATCTGTTCTAATTATTAAATGTCATTAGATATTAAATCAAAAGTTAAGATACGGACATGTAAGCCGTTTCGACCGATAATGAATAGTTTTGTCACAGAAAAATCCTAAAGTTGAAAAATCTCGATTTTGAACACCCTATATCTCTGTAATCGTTTTCGCTAAACCCCAAGTGTGATACATTGATATAATCAGCTTTTCAGAATCTAAAAATACAATGAAAAATACGGTGTTCCATTTAAAAAAATCAAATAGTACCCTGTAGATCGTTTGTTCCGAGCATCTTGTGTTTTCTGATGTAGCGGAAAAAAACTCTATCGGAAATCATTTTAGATCACATTCGAGATTCTGCAATCGGTTCAAAAATACCTGAACTAGATGGGTGGGGACATTTATGATGAATCACCCTGTACGGGCTTACGCGGCGTTTCCTCGAGTGGTCAAAATTTACAGGAACATTCCAGAAAGAAACATATTTATAGAGCTCAGGTCTCTGTGATGAGTCCTCCGCGCGGTGCAGAGGTGGCTGGTGTCGGCCAAGGAACGTGGGTGTAGGTATTTACGAAGTGTTAGTCTCAGAGGCCTATCTCCTGGGGCCAAGCCCCTTATATAGGTGATCTCGCTGAGGTTACCCAAGAGGGTGGGGGAGACGATCAGTCGCTTTCAGTGATGAGTGATTTATGGGGGGGGGGGGGATGGAGGAAAATGAAAGGTACAAAACAAAAACCTCCTGACAAAACAAAAACCTCTCCTGGACAGATATCGAACGACTAGAGCCTTACCTGAGAAGCTAGGGCGACGCCCCGGATATGTCCTTAAAAGGTCTCTACAGAATCTCAGCACATATTTCTGAGGTCTAAATATGCCGATTAGAAGCAACTTCGGTCTGAAATTGCCCCATTTCCGAGATACAGGAAGGCAAATTTAAAAAATAAAAATCGATTGTTTTCAAAATTCATTAACCTTGATGGCCGTGGGATTTTTGGGTTGCGGAACCTGAATACCGACACATTTTCACTGTGGCCATTAGATGGCACTTACCAATGCACTTCTTATGGTTCAGAGGGGCCATAACTTTTTTCTCAATATAATTTTCTACTTTTTTCTGTAGATGAAATAATTTTTTAAACATTTCTAAGCAAAAAAGTACTCTTGTGAAATTTAGCTAAAGTGCGCCGATTTCTAGATATTTAGATTTTAAATTTTCGATGCCGCACCAGAATATTTGAATTATTTTGAATAAAAAATGCATGTTTGCTGTCATCTTTGTGCATGTACTTTGGTCACAGTGAATAATGAGTAGTGCCACAATGAAATTTCGAAAATATTTTTTTGGGGTGCAGTTGTTGATTTTTTTAAATTCGCCGCCCTCTATCTCGGAAACGGGTAAATTCCTTATTTTGACCCCAGAACTATGTGCAATATTCTGGAAAAGACTTTTCAGGGACACCCTGTATAACTGACCTAGTATAGCAATCAACATTAATCTGATCAGAGATTAGGAATCAACTTAAAAGATCGTATAGGACCTTGATGAAAACGGACTATCGGACTAAATTATTCGTGAATTATATTTTTTTTCTGATGGCCCAAGAAATTGTTTAAGATCACACGTTAAAAAAAGGTAAGGCCCCCGTTATTCCTTGCTCGCACAAGACTCTTGAAGACTTCTGAGGATTGTTCGTAAGGGGGCAACCGATATGACGAATAGAACAAATGTAACAACAACAATTCACAATTTCACCTCTTAACTTTCGAGCTATAGAGTGTTGAATTTTCATTTTTCTTCATTGATTGAAGAAACTTTCACGATATAAAAAACAGTCACGTTTATGAATACTCGTCGAAATAAGACCGCAACGTTATTGATTTTCGGATTGCGAGATAGGGCACTAGCTACTAGTTCAAAATAATTTAGTTGTGCCACAAATGCATGAAAATTGTTTTTATTTTTTAACGCGAAAACGGTTCGTCGGACAGAAAAAATTCAAGCGGTCAAATCGTTGCAAAATAAATGATCATTTCAAAAATGATTCTTATTTCCGGAAAAAGCAAGGGTGAAAAGAACAATCTCCAGTATTGAACCCATACAGACGCCACTGGTGGAAATATTAAAAAATCTCCTACATCAAAAAATGCCCATTGGTCCTTAGTAGGTGAATTACAGATTTCATGAAAATGTATCGAAGTTATGATGAAAAATCGATTTTTTCTTGAAATTTTAACACCCTATAGCTCGAAAGTTAAGAGGTTTAGGGCATATGTTCATGTTTTCCTTTTTCAAATGAGCTTAGAAACTACATCCTTCATTTTCAGCCATCAACAATCAACAAAAAAAAAATTAATTCGAAAAAAAGTTCCTATATATACGATTTTTTCAGTTATTTCAAATCTATTTACAAGAACATTTATAAAATACTACTACGAGGTAATTTAAGACAATAAAAAAATTATGCCTTGGTTTCGTGAATATTCATTATCTTTCCATGTTTGCTGATATATCATCCGACAGTCAATGAAAAAAAATTGAAATGATAATTTATTACGGAATAACCTCGGGAATAACTGAAAGTGTACCAGAAACTTTTTCAATAAGTTGCTATAGTATTTTTTCCGTAGATTCATAATATTACCTCATATTTTTGATATTTGTTATACAGGAAGAGTTATTCTCACAATAACTCTACAGAGGAAAAAAATATATTACGGTCCTGATATTGGTTTCGTTCAGGAGGCTACTTGTCGATGCCTTTGAGTTCAATTCATACATCAAGTTCGAACCCAATCTCTGTATTCAATATGGCAGATTGAACTCTTGTGAAAATACACAAATCACTCTGTAGGTACGTCAGTATAACGAAGCGGTTTTGGACATTGGTATATGGCATTTTGGAATCCCATTGGCAGTCCCAATAGTCCCATAATTTTGGCGGTTTTATCTCTGGGCACCCTGTATAATTGATCTTAGATGGTGCATTTCGTTCATTTCGTTTATTTCTAGATGGGATTCATCAAATGTTTTAATGTAATAAGTATTCTTAATTTCTTTGATAAGCACATATCTCAGTTGAAATGCAAGTACTTATTTCTGGGTCACTCTGTGTATTATTACCTCCATATCCATGGTAACAAGAATAAAGTACCCAGCATAACGAAATACACCAAGCAGGCCTGGATAACCCAAAGTAGAACATTCTTTGGATGAAACTTTGGTTCATTTCGGCGTCTTGATAGAAAAAGACAACGGTAAACATTCCGACCAAAACAATCATCCATATAGCAAAATTTATATTCTGAAATGAAAAAATGCTAATGATTAGATAGAGGATTCTACGAAGCCCTGGAAGAAAACATACAATAAAAAATGAAAACTCATCAAAATTCTGAGTTATAACTCGGAATTTTAAAATTCTGACTTATATCTCGGAATTTTATATCCAAAATTCCGAGTTATAACTCAGAATTTCAAAATTCCGAGTTATAACTCGGTTATAAACCAGAATCTTGACGAGTTTTTATTTATTTTATTTTATGTGTCCCTTCCAGGCCTTCGTAGGATTCATAATATGTATCCTTTTTCTTCCTTCATGTCAACTGATGTTCTGTGAGAGAGTCAATGAAAAATTGATAGGTTTCATTTTTAAGGGTTTTTTTATTCGTATTTTCCCTAACATACCCTAGGAGGAAGAACAAGGTGAATAACTCACAGAAAATAGTTTTATATAAGACAAGAACATTGGGTATACAGGGTGTATCTGAATAACACCCAAAAAATTCAAGGAATGTTTCCTTGTGACATTCTAGCAAATAGAGTTCATATAAACATGTTTTCATTCATAATCCCCCTGTATAAGCTTCCATGGTGCCAAAATTCAGTATGGATGGGAACTGAGGAAGCCCCAAAATGTCAGAATGATTCTAATTGGGGTTGTTGAGTAATCTCAATGGAAGTCTTGAGAACATCCACATTGAAATTTAGAGTCAAATCGAGTTTTTATTGTTTCCTCAAAAACTTAGTTGGATTTCAATAGTTCAATCTTATAAAAATATGAAACTCAGAAAAACCGGTTAGTGTACAATGACATTCACCATGAATATCGATGAATTTACCCACTGTGACGCCACTGGAAATTTTGTTTCGAATATAATTGCACTAGAAGAAGCTCCATATGACTAATAACATAATCACAACGTTCTATTGAAATTGATGAAACGACAATTGAGAAATGAATAGAAAAAGATTTTTCATGGAAATGTCAATACCCTGTATCTCGAAAACGAAGCATGTTAGGAAACATGTTTATATGAACTTCATTTCCTAAAATATCACAAGGAATCACCCCTTGAATTTTTTAGATACACCCTGTATACACATTAACATACTTTAGGAGTGAATCAGTAGGGAAAATATGTTCAAATAACTACAAAAAATCAAGACCAATCATATAAAACTAAAACAAAATTACCGTTATTTTTTTCCTGTCAAATATCTTCAAGAATGGTTCATCCCTTTTTGTTCTCATGAACACTCCCATAGTAATGCCTATCATAAAATCTGTTAGCCTGGAATGGGAACCATATTCACTGGAACAAAAGTATATACTGAGTGATTTGAAAAATATTTATTTTTCACCATTCTCTAACTACCTGCCTAGAGACTTATAATACAATGAAAAATGTGCAATACCTAGTTTCATAATGTGATATTATCTTTGCTACTTAGAAAGTTTCGCAAATTACAAAATACAGGCCGTGTAAAAAAATAATATTATATTAGTTGTATTGATATATGATTATTTTATGTATGTAGTTAGGTATATATCATCCAATCGCCAATCTAGAATGTATTTTTTTATCTCTTGGAGCGCACGTAAGGAAATTCCTATAATATTCGTGCAATTTATAAGTGTATGTGATTAACCGAAGATTAATAATAATATTGGTAATTATAATGATAAATAAGTGTCAGTAGGTTATGAAATGTTTCAGTAGATCAGTAGATTATTATGCAAATCAGGAGATTCACTGAAAATTCAGTCGAACTGGCAACCCTGCAGCGGACAAAAAGTGAAAGCGAACGAAAACTTAGTGTCTGCGGACGAAAAGTACTTGTCGTCGAAAATAGTCGGTATTTCATTCGGAAATTAGAACGTAAAATGTGATTTTTTGTAGATGACGACAAAAAAAGTATATTATAACGTGATTATAACGCGCTCTGGTCGTTACATAATTTTCTTTTCAATGATAATTTATGATCATCGTTGTAAAGTTGGCAATAGAGGTACAACCATCAGTATTGGTGATATTTACTACAAATCATTCAATATCAAATCATCTCCGATAGTTAATACAATTGGATCGGTTTGAAATCCCTTGAAATAAAACGAATGGTGACTCAGGAAAAAGAGTTATGACGTCAGTACTGGCTAGACTCACTGGATGGTATCAGTTAGATAAGAGTTCGGATACAATTGATTTTTTGTCCTTCTCTATTTTCTATAATACAATGGTATGAGTGAATAAGAGATTAAGACTTATATTCTGCTCTTCGTCTTTTCAATTTCCCTAGTAGCGCCTGATTGTCAGATACGATTTCAGAGTTTAGATTTTCTGTCAAATCAGTCATAGCCGTAGATGGAAGATATAGAAATAGGGTATAAACACCAACTTCAATTTTCAACGTTACATTTTTCGAATAACAATATCAATAAAAATTAAAAGAAAATATGTAACAACATTTTAATATGACAAAATAGATACATATGGATATACTTGGAACTATTTATTGTATGTAAAACTGTACTGGAGTGATGAAGTTTAAAACATGAAGATTGTTTTGATTTTCCACCTTATGCTGCATTCATCACTTTTCACTGATAAATTCGGTATTGGAAACGCCATTATATCACATTGCAATTCACAATCAATTTCTCTTTCTCAATATTAATTTTGTTTTGAATTTCGTGTGATGATAATATTGACATCTTCATAAAATATGTAATATATATAGTCTGAAGTGAACTTTAATGTAAGTACCTCATAAATTTTGCTTGTCTCTAAATACATTTTTCTTCCATCTCGTTTTATATACATTTCTTCCACAAGGGAATGGTTGATATTTTCTTTGGAAAATCAAAGAGGTGCAACCTGATGAATATAAATATTCAAAAACACACAGTTGTCATTTCTGTGTCCGAACTCTTATCTAACTAATAACATCTATACAGGGTGTCCGGAAATTATGCGCAAAAAATCAAGAGGGCGATTCTACATGATGAAATAAGAAATTCTTTTTATATGTACGTGGGTCCGGAAATGCATAGTTTTCAACATACAGTGTGTTAAAACTTTTAAACAAGATCGTTTTTTTATGAATATCTCAAATGTCCTTCAACCAATTTTCTTGAAATTTGGCAATGATATTCTTTGTCATGAGGGGCTCATATAGCCATAATTCAATTGGAATTATAAAATCCAGTGGCGTCCCGGGGGGCAACCTACCGAATATTATTGTCAATAAAATGTGCGCCACTGATTTTTTTGAATTCTGTTTCTTCATGACCTATTGACCAACTAAAAATACAACATTTTGGACTCCTCAATTATTTTGATAATTTGCTTCATTTCCATGGAAAACAATAATTACCAATTTATTGCATAAATTTGTGCCAAAAAATTCCTTGAAAAAATGAGGTAAAAATAAATGCGGCATCAATGTCCATAGATAGAGAATATGTATTAAGATTCATTTTCTTAAAATAGTCCTTGATACATGTTTGACACACTCTACACTCTGTATATTGAGAACTATGTATTCTCGGTCCAGGAAGGCGGAGTTTTCGATAATACAAAGTGTGTCAAACATGTATTATAAAATATTTGAAGAAAATGAATCTCAATTCTTATTCTACGTCTATGGACATGGATAACACATTTAATTTCACCCTTGTTTGTGAAGCAATGTTTTGCACAAATTTATACAATGAATTGGTATTTATTTTTTTCCACGGAAACGCAGCAAAATAGCAAATAAATTCAGGAGACGAAAATGTTGTATTTTCAGTTAATCATTAGGATATGAAGATATAGAATTTAAAAAAATCAGTGGCGCACATTTTATTGACAATAATATTCGGTAGGGTGCCCCCGGGACGCCACTGGATTTCACAATTCCAATTCAATTATGGCTCAATCAGCCCCTCATAACAGAGAATATCATTGCCAAATTTCAAGCGAATCGGTAAAAGGATATTAGAGATATTCATAAAAAACCGAATTTTTCTAAAAAGTTTAACACACTGTATCTTGAAAACTATGCATCTCCTGACCCGAGTATATATGAAATAAATTTCATGTTTTCTCATGCAGACTCACCCCCTTGATTCTTTGCGCATAATTTCCGGACACCCTGTATAGGGTCCCTTGATGCAAACTGACGTATTTGTCATCTAACAGGGTACATCGTGGTACGGACAGATCATAGTTCCTTTCTCTTTTAATCATCTAGTGACTTTGGTTTCGTCTATTGGCATCCCTGACATGACATTGCTGTCACGTCAGATTCATAGGCGTTAAAGGAGATCTTACAAAATTTGAATTGATTGAATTTCATACTTTATCTTAATACATTATTCAATTCTGTTTTGGAAGGATGGTTAAATGTGCTGCGTTATGCTGTATCAATCAGTTGGATGGAAAATTTTAATTTGTCAGCTTTCCATCAAAATGTAAATGAACTTAGGACATGGAAAGTGAAGTGACGACGAATGGGGAAAATTGGTAAAAACATCAGCAAAATATTCTAGGCAAAACTAATAATAATTCACATATACTTTCTCATTGTGCCTATAATTATCCAAACCACAAGTTTTTGGATGCATTTTAGTAGAAACAGTTTTGAGCAGTGAAACAGTAATAATAGCCGTACCTTGATATGTGGACTATTAACTGCTATGATCCCAGACAGCACTGGATATTCATAGAATGGTCTCTAAATATGCTAAAAAGGAGGAGTATATTCCGAATATTCATCGATTATTCCTAGAATATATACATGCCTCTGAAACATCTGAAAGGAATATTCCAAAGTGAATAGTCGGACATGTTCAGGGAATATTCAGGTATGAATCTTCCAGGAATATTCTTAACTGAATATTCTCTGTTGTATATTCATGAAATATACCCAACTGAATATTCTGTGCGGTATATTCATGAAATATACCCAACTGAATATTCTGTGCGGTATATTCATGAAATATACCCAACTGAATATTCTGTGCGGTATATTCATGAAATATTCTCAACTGAATATTCTGTGGTGTATATTCATGAAATATTCCATGAATATTCCTATGTTTCTCAACACATAAATAGCATTTATTATTTCAGAGATGTGAGCATCGAACATCAATTAGATGTAAGGGGATTTTGAAACAAAAAGTGTTTATGATCCGATTTCGAACAATGCTCTCACAATAACTTGATTTGTATAACATTATTCAATTCGATTACTGGCCTAGTGGTCAAGGCGTTGCTCTGATAGTCTGTTCTTTATGCATTCTCATCATATTAAGTGTTTGTTCTGTTAGATATTGTCTATGTAGATAAGAGAAGAAAGACGAATAAATGAATTTAAATGCTCTGATAGTCTCGAGGTCACGAGTTCGATCCCTACTTGGGTCACTTTTTTTATTTTAGAATATGTTTATTGGAATATTCCAGGAACATTCAACATAGAATATTCTTTTGGGTATATTCTATGATTATCTGAGGAATTCCCATTCGCATATTTAGAGAATATTCCACAGATATTCCGGAATATTCCAGATTATTTCTAGAATATTCCAATATTCCAAAAGTAATATGATAGGGAGATTCATGGAATATCTGGTGCTGTCTGGGATCTTAGCTGCTTGGAGGGGTAGGCCTACCAGATGGTAATGTTCTAGGGGTGCAAACTTGTTAATCGATTGCCGAAATATGCACAATTTACCGGAACCAGCGAATAATTATAATAGATAGCGGACCGATCGTTTAAAAATCAAATCTAACGAAGTTGGAATTAGAATGAATTGTCTCTCCGTATCGGCAGTTTCTCGAATTCCTGCTTCACTGTGCATAATACGCGATTAGTAAAAAATCATAGAAAAAGCGTATGTCAAAGAAATACATTTGTTTCTGCCTTCGAAGAACAAGTACGAATAACATTTATACAGACTGTCCAAAAATAACATTTGTACGGATTGTCCCAAAATAACGTAATTATAATAATTATAATATCCCAATTCCTAATTTTGAAATGAATAAACTAATTGATAATATTGATACGCAAGACATATTATGTGACTATCATTTCAGTTTTATGCACATTTTGAAATAAATTTACGCGTTCTTCTTGCCCATTATTGATACGTACTTCTTGTAATCTGGGAATCTCAACCAGATCATCATCGGCAAGATGATACACACTAAATTCATGACCATCAAAAAAATCATGGAATATTTGAATCCATCAGGTTTCTTCAGTAATCGTGAAGTGGGAATCAAAAACAGAGGTGACAAGATGAAACACTGTAAATCAACTGACAAATACCAATGTGGGACCAAGCACTGAAATAAAAAAAAAATTATTGTAATCAACTATGGAGTGCTTGAGTGTGTCCTTCATTTCCTCTAAACAAGGACCAATTAAGCGACCCATTCAATAAGGACTAGAGTGACTTATTTCAGAGGAATCTGATTAATCAATCAGCTGGTTTCTTTCAAATTGAAACGTGACATTGACAGAGATCACCTTATTGAAAATACTGAATTTGTTATGGAAATAAAGTGGCTTGAACGTCTATTTTCACAAAAAATCATGCGGAAATAGCTATTTAACCAACTAGTGTTTTAATGAGGGCGATTAATGACCGAGATATTTTAACGTGCGAGCGAAGCGAGCGCATTAATGTTCGAGATCATTAATCGCCTTTTAATATCAAATTTTTTCCGTCGACTATATTTCTCATTTTTCCTGCAATGAAGAAAACTTGGTTCGCGAATTCATCATTCATCCGAAAACTGCTATAATTAAGAATCACCCAGTAGCCTTGTTACTGACATTAGTGACATTTGACATTTGTCGAAATGATCAACATAGAAAATAGATTCCTTGTGTTAGGAAACAGGGATTAAAATCGTGTCAGGAACTTGGAAAGGCGAACCCGTTAACGGAAAATCTTCGATGAAATCCGTACTTTCGATTTAAATGCAAATTCCGTAAGTTATAGCAAGGATGGACAGAAGTCCATCCTTGTTATAGCATAAACAATGAATGCACGCGGTGTATTTTTGGTTGCCTATAAAACAATCGTGCATCAATAGACAAATCGTTCATTAATAGGGGTCATTAACCCTTTCGCTACTAAAGGGTCTTATATGTCCCAAGAGGTTTTAGTTCTTAAAAATACGGCATCATTTTTTTTTCGAAATTATTATTTTTTAATGAATTATCAATAAACGCTACTTTCTTGGTAGAATTTTACAAACAATGAAATAGTAGGTGGTCATCTAGGCAAAATACGGCTTGGGACATATATATCCCTTTAGTGATATAAAGAGGGGCGTATATGTCCCGGGCGTATTGTAATGAAAACACCTGAGCATTTGTTCGTAGTGCTTTATTGTGAAAAAAGAAATATTACGAAAATATTTCACAGAAATCACACGCAATTTATGTATGATAAGATTCAAAACATAAGCTGCATAAAGGAATATTACAATAAGAACAAATAGTTGTCGTCCGTTTCTCCTTCTTTTTTTCGGAACAGCTGCGACACCGTTTTCTGGTTTTTGTAACGACAGGTTAGTGGTCATCAACATTTATTAGATTTTTTGAGGCAATATTCGACCGACTGTATGCGCGTTTTCTGATAACATTCGCATTTCTACGGCCTGTTGCAATTAGCGATTCAGCAAGATTTACGAGGAAACTAAGAAATGGAAGTTTTGGGTTATTACGCAGTTCTTTATAAATAATCCAAGCGTTAACAGCAGTAGTCAAAAGAAGCTTGTAAAAAACTTTTTTCCACCATTTTGTGGATTTTCTATCAACTTCGTATAAACCGGTAAACTGGTCTGACAAATCCACACCACCCAAGTTAGCGTTATAGAATTGTATTGCTTCGGGGCATTGCAAATTTATTTTAGAACCATCTTTTGACTTTCGACTAATTTCAACCCTTTTATCTTTATGGCAGTTGCTAAGAATCATAACTTCCTTTGTGTCCTGCCAAAGAAATCCTATTGTTCCATTACCATTTTCCATGCTTTCCATTTCCCCTCTCTTTCTTTTCTTTTTTTCAAATTTTGGCATATTTTTTCTTGAAGATATACATGTTCCGACTGCTGGAAATGGTAGCGTATCAACCAAATTTACAGAAGTAAAAAATCTGTCAAAACAAAAGGACACTTCTGGACCTTTTACAGTTGAAGTAAGTTTCTTTACAACTCGTTCTCCTAGAGTTCCATCAGCTGGTTCATTTTCTTTTCCACAATAGATGTTGAAATCGTAAACATAGCCTGATTTTGCATCACAACGTTCCCAAATTTTTATACCACGTTTTATTGGTTTCAATGGTAAATATTGTTTCAAAGCTGATCTGCCTTTGAATTTGGTCATTGATTCGTCAATAGATTGGTGCGAGGATTCTGATCTTGATTTTAGGAATGTACTTTTCAGACAATTAACGACATCTTCAATGTAATAAAGTTTGCTACAGTTTTCTGGTTTTTTCGGAGAAGTAAAATATAGTTTGCTTACTAGAAGCTGAAATCTGTCTCTGGAAATGGCCTGTTTTATAGCTTCATTGCCTAAAGATTTATTAGTAGACCAATAATGATGCATTGAAGGAACTTTATTATACGCCATAGTAAAGAGACAACCTATGACAATTTTTATTTCATGTGCATCGGTTGGTTTGTGTTTTTTATATAGCTTCTTACTTGCTTTATTCACAATTTCCAAACGCTCATTTGTGCACTGAGCAATGTAGTTGAATAAACTATTTGGAAACAATTTCATGAAAATATTCATCTCGGATGACCCGCGGTTCAAATCTGCCACGACAGAACACGATTCATCATCCAATGAGAACAGGATCTTTCTTATGTGGAACAGGGGAAAAATTAGCATCAGGTACATGCACCTCAGTTATATCATTCTCATTACTCTCGGAAGAGCTGGAGTAATATAAATCATCCGGTTTTCTGGCATTAGTTTTTTCGAGAATTCGAAATTTTCTGGGTCTTTCAATATCTGACTCACTGTCTGAGTCGGGCTCCGATTCAATATACTCGGAACCGCTATCTTGGAATGGATCCTCAAGTGACTCCACATCTGATAAATTTTCAGCTAGGACATTTAGTTGTTTTTCATTCAAACGTTTTCTGAAACAAAAACGAACAGTCTGTACTAATATTACTGCTGGGACATAATACGCCTACAATAGAATACGAATGGGACATATGTATCCCGTAAACCCGTAAACTAAAAGTCTGTAAACAAAAGGGACTAAAATTAAAAATATGTATGTAATATGTCTTACCTAGACATTATGGCACTCCTTGATATAAATTTGTAATAGAAACGTGCGTTTTATAACATAAAACTGCGCTTAAATAATAACCACATGTGCACCAAAACAAATAATGAGGTTAACTGATGTTATAGGTTGGTAAAGTCGAGTTTTGCGCGGGCACATTGATTCTCGGTACTCTCAGAACGGTTGGGACAGTGTCAAATCTGGTTTATGATGCGTTCAAAGGCTAACAGTATTCTATAAACTTTTAGTGGGACATATATAACCCAATAGTAATTTTCAACCAATATTTTTTGAATTATAGCCGTATTGAAAGGGTTAATGAACGACTTCATATACATTAAACTTAGTCGTTAATACGAGGTCGACGGAAAACTTACTTTTCCGCACGCTCGTGGGAAAAATAGTATGTCAAAGATTATGGAGTTACTTATTTCTAATTTTTTTTTATTGAAGTTTATGTGGTATTAGTACATATACTTACCATATTATCCCAGTTGACATAATTCTGTATGAATAATATGTAAGACCACCAATATTCTCTGCAAGGCTTCAAATGAATTTCAGCTCCTGGTTGCCAATATGGGCCTGAACCGAATTTGACAAATATGAACATGGACGACAAATACATCATCAGAACAGGAGGAGTTATTCTAAAACGGAAAATTCGATAAATATACAGTACCCTTCTAGAGTCCGTTCCCCCTGTTCATTTCTGAACCACCTGGTATATCGCATCGACATTTGGATGGCATAAATAGGAGATGAAAACTAGGATTATGACCTATATATATTCAAAGTGACTGGGTTGCGGAATAACCGTCATCTTGAATTCTTGAAATTCCTTTCTGATGAAGTCACATAAGGGTGAAACAGGGTAGCCAACCTAGGAATATATTAGGCCTTTTCGATTGTTCTTACTCAATTTGCTGAACTTGTTCTGTTTTTATGACTTTATCTGTTTACTTTTTGCGATGAACAGAGAAAACAATAGAAACACAATCAACTTCAGCAAAGTTCAGCAACACCATTGAACTGACCTCTTATATTATTTGAATAGATGACAGATACCAAAACGTTAGGGTTAGGGTTTCTGAAAAAAAACATGAAATTTTGAAAAACATGACGTCTGGTTTGTTGAAGTTAAGAGTTCAGATAAATACGGTTACCTACACTTTCTGCACCAAGGTAAGATAAAGCACTCCTTCACTGGCCGAGCTCAAGCCAATTTCTTATTCTTATATAAGTGTACCGAAAATTCTCATTTTTTTGAATTTGTTGCTCGCAAACTGCTCCATAAATTCACTAGGATATATTGAGCTTTTTAATGGTCATTTTCATTTTCAACTACTGTAATAATCGGAAAAGAAATAGAGAATCATACACAAATCATTATAAATATTTCAATAAATACATGTCATGTCCAGTACACAGCTTCGCGGATGATTTAGTACCCTCCATACCGCCTTCTCCTCCATCAGGGCTCCATACCAGCCAGGCAAATCAGAAACGAACGAGGAAGAAATGTTGCCACCATAAATATGGACTTGGTAACGATTCTCGAATGGGGATCCAATAACTTGGTAGATTTCAATGCGAACGAAACACAAGCACGCCTTTCCTCTAGAAAAGCCGATCTCACTGTGCCCAAAATGAGCTTTTCAGGAGTAACCATACCTTCGAAGACTTCCATTTCGATGCTTGGTATTACTATCAGCAATAACCTTAGTTGGGAAAATGACGTGAGATCAATTGCTAAAAGTGAATCCCAAAAACTTGGTTTTCTGCCAGGAGCTATTTCACTTCCAGTCAGCTGTTTATGATCTATAAGGCACAGATCTGACCTATCCTGGAATACTGTTCCCATATATGGAGTGCAGCACCCGAACATCTGGCTCTATTTTATAGATATTTTCATGGACGATGCTCTTCTGAAATATCAACAATTGTTCCTCCCTTGGCAGTCCCCGCGAGATTAACCCGTCGAGTTGAGGCTTCGCACCCCTTCGTGGTCTTTTTGGAGATCTGCAGAACATATCTTTCCAGAGACTCAATCATCCAACGAACAACAAGACTCTGGAACACATTGCCAGGGGAGGTGTTCCGCGAGGCATATAACCTCCCGAAATTTAAGAATAACACCAATTCCTACCTTATTCCCCTTGGTTCTCACGATGTTCTCTGAACATTACAGGATATCCCTTCTCGTGGAAACCAGAACATGAAAAAAAATCATAATGTGAGAAAACCATCTTTGAATTTTTTGATGGCAGCTGCAGCTGTCAGCATTCTGGCAAAAGAAAGATTCTATAATATTTCACCGTTTTCTTCTGAAGTATTTTCTTTCTTTCGTTTTGGAAACTATCAAGATGAACAGTTCAGATTCTAGATTGGGATCTTGAAGTGCTCAATTCTCTGGCTGCTGATGAAAACTTATCCACTGATTTCTGATACATATCTAAATTTTCAGAAGATAGGTAAAAACAGTTAACCTATCTTGCACTCTAATTATCATCATCGATCCCTTCACAGTCTTCCCACTACATTTCGTAACAGACATGAAAAACTTGTACTTAGTTAAGTAGGTATAAGACTTCTTTCACTATCAACCCAGAAAATCAACAGAAAAACATAAACTTAGTTTCTAGTTATTTTTAGAACTTTTTGTTGGAAGCAATGCGCCCTCTTACCTCACCTCACCCCTGTACTACGTGCAGTCATAAAGCTCGTTTATGTCGTATTTATCGTAACCATCTGTCCGTATATAAAGAGTACGCAAACCAGTTCCTAAAATAGGCAAAAAGACCCTACCTAGCAACTACACACCGATCGCACTGCTATCTATTATTTCAAAGATCATGGAGAAAACTATCAACATGGAGCTCATGAAATACATGGAACATTCAGGTTATGGCTTCCGTCATCAGAGATCAACTGGTGACCTGCTAGCTCACGTCTCACATATATGGCAGCAATCTATTGAAAAATATGGTGGAACTTGGGTGGAACCTTAGCCGTGGCACTTGTTATCTCCAAGGCATTCGATCGAGTCTGGCACCACGGACTCCTCGCCAAGCTGCCATCTTATGGCTTGCCTCCCCAGCTATGTTCTCTGCTAGCTAGTTTTCTCTCAAACGGGTCTCTCCATGTAGTGGTCGACGGAGTTTCATCTGACCCATTTATCATAAATGCTAGTGTTCGTTCCACAAGGATCAATTCGAGCACCAACACTATATTTCTACTCCATATCAACGATTTGTTGGAAGCAATTTCATGTCCAGTACACAACTTCGCGGATGATATTACCCTCCATACCGCCTTCTCTTCCAGGACTCCAATACCAGCCAGGAAAATCAGAAACGAACGAGGGAGAAATGTTGACAACATAATTATGGCTTGGCATCAATTATAGAATGGGGATCCAATGCAAATAAAACACAAGAATGCATTTTCTCTAGAAAAGCCGATCTCACTGTGCCCAACATAAGCTTGTCAGGAGTAACCATACCTTTGAAGACATCCATTTCGATGCTTGGTATTACTATCAGCAATAACCTTTCTTGGGAAAATCACGTGAGATCAATTGCTTGAAGTGCATCCCACAAACTTGGTTTTCTGTTTCGGACCAGGAGCTATTTCACTCCCAGTCAGCTGCTTATGATCTATATAAGGCACATATGCGACCTGTCCTGGAATACTGTTCCCATATTTGGAGTGCAGCACCCAAACATACCCTGAAACTGTTGGATTCTGTCCAAAAAAGGGCCATTCGTCTCGTGGGTGATGCCTCGCTCATGAACTCACTCACTTCTCTGGAACACCGTAAAAAAGTTGGCGATTTGGCTCTATTTTATAGATATTTCCATGGACGATGCTCTTCTGAAATATCAACAATTGTTCCTTCCTTGGCAGTCCCCGCGAGATTAACCCATCGAGTTGAGGCTTCGCACCCCTTCGTGATCACTTTGGAGACCTGCAGAACATCTCTTTCCAAAGACTCGTTCATACAACGAACAGCGAGGCTATGGAACACATTGCCAAGGGAGGTGTTCCCCGAGGCATATAACCTCCAGAAATTCAAGTAGAACACCAATTCCCACCTTATTTCCCTTGGTCCTCACGATGTTCTCTGAACATTACAGGATATCCCTTTTCGTGGGAACCAGAACATAAAAAAATATATACAGGGTGGGCCACCAGTAACGCCTCGGTCTCTAGAAGGCTAACCACTTATCTTCTTGGAACTCTTCCTTTCTAGGAAGTTGCATGTCAACATAGGCTACCATTTAAAATTATTTCGAAACATACAGGGTGTCCCCAAAAACCATAAAACACTGAAGTTGAACTTTTTTCTATCGAACACCCTATATATTATTTCATTTTGTGATTCTCCCTGATGAGCTGATTTCAACGACCCATCATACTTGGGGTCTAGCAGTTATAATTACTGAAATATAGGGTGTGAAAAATCGAGATTTTCCAAGTTCAAGAATTTTTTGTGTCGAAACTATTCATAATTGGTCAAAACGGCTTACATGTCCCTATCTCAACTTTTGATTAACTATCTACTGATATTTAATTGGGACATATACCGGGTGATCAAGATTCTGAATTCTGCACCACCCTGTATTTGTTTCAATTAAATGTCAGTAGATAGTTTATCAAAAGTTGAGATAGGGACATGTGAGCCGTTTTGACCAATTATGAATGGTTTAGACACAAAAAATTCTTGAACTTGGAAAAGCTCGATTTCTCACACCCTATATCTCAGTAATTATAACTGCTAGACCCCAAGTATGATGGATTATTGAAATCAGCTCACCAGGGAGAATCTCAAAATGAAATAATATATAGGGTGTTCGATTGAAAAAAGTTCAACTTCAGTGTTTTGTGATTTTTGGGGACTTCCTGTATGTTTCAAAATTATTTCAAATGGTAGCCTATGTTGACATGCAACTTCCTAGAGAGGAAGAATTCCAAGAAGATAAGTGGTTAGCCTTCTAGAGACCGAGGCGTTACTGGTGGCCCACCCTGTATATAACAACTTCCGTTGTCAACCTCGAAATATGTCGAACAGCACTAAATCAAAACTCGTTTCTCTATAAAACGGAAGAGCTCTGAAATTTATTGCCTGAGGAAGTACTTCCAAGAACTAATAATCCCCATGAATTTGAAAAAAATCCAATACCTACCACCTCTCTTTATCATCCCTAGGTACGCACGATATCCTTCGAACATTACAGGGATTTTCTTTCGTGCGCACTAAGCGATAAAAAAAACCTCGATGAAAACCTACTGAAATATATTATTCTATATTTAACATCTCATAATTCTCAACAGTTTCATCTCATGCAGTTTACTCCTAAGTTAAATAGTAACCAAAATATGAACGTCCGAAAACAGATATTTTGGTCATTTCAAATCCATACAGAAACACGAATGTTGTTTTCAATTATTAACATTTGCTTATAGGAAAAAATCATGATGTTACCACAACAAAGATTTGTTTCTGAAGCAAACTTGATTGAAAGCAACATCCAAGATTTTGGTTCGATTTGAAATATGACCAAAATGTGACCCTTCGAAGGTTGATATTTCGAGAACTATTGATCCAAGGACAGAGAGTAGGGTAGAGTATATTATATAAAACTATTGAGAATTATAAGAATATTTCGAAAATATGTGTTCCATTTAAAAAGAATATTCAAGATGGCATGCACTCAGCCGCCGTAGTTTTCATGAAAAAGTAGGTTTCCATCTTTTATTTGAGACTTCCAAATTTCGTTGCGATATACCAGGAGGTTCAAAAATTAGAAGCAGCGAGGGAACGGACTTTAAACGGGCATAGTACTTTCAGAAGAAATGTCTTCATCTGTTAGAAGCAGAATAACCTCAAAATTCACAACACATGCAATCCACAATAGTTGTAATCTTGAAAGCCACTGAATTTTTTAAATAAACAATGTTGGTGGATTGGATTGCAAAATTTACTCACCGAAGATATCGGTGCACGTAGATGAATGGAATATTCTTCACTTGAGCTTTCGTAGATCTGGAGTTATCTTTGAAGTAGTGATACGATAATAAATAACCAGACATGAAGAAAAACGTGTCCACTGCTACATGAGCTGCATCTATATATCCAGAGTACCTCTTCTCACGGAACTGTAGTGAAATTGATTCATTAGCGAGTCATCTCGTATTTTTCATTTCGTATCTACTTATAAGTAGTTGATTTCAAACCTGAAGTGAAGATTTATTTACTAACATTTCTTTCCACTATTTTTGATTTAAATGAATTCAATGATATATCGACACCAGATGGAGTTACAATGAAACTAATAATTAATGTTTTTCATGTTACTACTCACAGTACTCATTGTCAATCTGAAATCAGTAAATTTAGAGCTTATAGACATACAGTGTGTGCGATTTCAATCCACAACATCTTATTCCTAATTTGAAACAAAAATTCCATAATACCTAGACTACTCAACAAGCTCTCTGGGCAAATCTGAAATATTCAGATTTTTGAGGTCTACTATCATTTGTGAAGGGGTCAAAATTTCAAAATCGACTATTAAGAAAATTTTTCTCATCGTATACCTATATCAACAAAATGACATTTCGTATACAGGTATAAGTATATCATTGAGAAAACCAAGTATAATATATTACACACTGAGGTGGTGGAAAGAGATTCATTTCTGTCGTGAGATTAGTTATATATAGTTAACAGAGACGTAAAGCGTAGAGGTCAGCTATGATCTCGAGCGTTACCCCCGACATCGGACATAGTGTCTCGAGACAGGAATGAAACTTCCTACCGAGGTTGTATACTTTTATATTAACAACCATCATATTTCGATCAAAATCAATAAATCTCTGTTTCGTTCTGAACATACTTAAAATATTACATAAGTGAAGGCGAGAAGTGGAGGTGTGTAATGTGACACTTCCCAACCTTCAATGACATCAGTATAGTGAAGTAGGCAAACAATATTTCTGAAACAATGTTTCTGCTGTAAGTTATCAGGACACACTTGTTGGTATTTATCGATATGTATTTTGATAGGTCGTCAATTATAAGTGAACACTGAACTAGTTCTAGGTTAATGAATACCCACCATTATTAAATTATTTTTCTGAGACAAAATCACTTGCTCTGAGCGCACTAATCGCTTAAGACAATCTATCAAGTCGGTTGGTGCAGGTGACAGCTCACCTGTGGTTATACATCTTTTCGCCGTTCGGACATCTCCGATATATTATTCGGGTGCCCACGCCCAACGCAACCACTCCCACTGTCCACGGTTACATTATGATGTTAGCATTCGTGAAGTATACATGCGTTCTCGCTGGTACAATCAGAATTCCAAGTCATGCAAGTGCCATTATCACCAACTGCTATATATCATATTCCTGATTCTCTGTTTGTGTGCCGCGCTCCGAGCTGTTGCGAAATGAAAGGGAAAAATGTCCCGATTGCCAATATCCAAACGTGCCTCGATTCAAACTGATCTAAGTTAGTGGCAGAGCGTCAATATTTCCATGAATATTTTGCCCTCGTCGAAAGTTAATATCTGATGAACCAGTGTAAAACTCATGTGGTGCTCATACACTACAAGTATTCTAATTCACATGTTAAGTTTTACACTGGTCAACACTACAAGTATTCTAATTCACATGTTAAGTTTTACACTGGTCCATGAATATGATCTTTAGAAGGGCGCGAAATATTCTAGGAAGTATTGATGCCCTGCCACTAACTTAGATCAGTTTGAATCGTGGCACGTCCTATTTTGGCGTAGTTGAAATACCCATATTATACTGAATTTTAACGCAATATCTCGAAGGCTAATTGCTATATTTTTGCTTTTTCAATCCATCGAGTAGGTACTTAGATAAGAAGTTTCATCCTCGTAACTTCTACAGGAAGATCTCTCTGATGGTCAATGCAAAATTAATTGAATTGAAGTTGAAGCTTCAATTATTATGATCCGTATCTTTTGAGTTCTGATGATAAAAACATATAACAATTTTCAATTTTATCTCAAATCTTCATTCTATTTCGCTAATATTGGAATATTATTATGATCACATCAAGCACCTCATTGCAATCTCTGGAGAGTGATTGTCTCTCATTCAATTCATGTTATATTTGACAGCTCTTTGTCAGTCGAGATGATTTCAGAAGTACCTACTAACTATTTTCTTGGGTTTCCAGAATGGTTATCCTCATCTTTGGTTTTATTGATTTTTGGTTTAACTAGAGACATCTTTCTGTAGAACTTACAACGTTGAAACTTCGTATCTTTTTTTATGTTGGTTCCCACGAAAAGGGATATCCTGTAATGTTCAGAGAACATCGTGAGAACCAAGGGAAATGATAAGGTAGGAATTGGTGTTCTTCTTGAATTTCTGGAGGTTATATGCCTCGGGGAACACCTCCCTTGGCAATGTGTTCCAGAGCCCCGCTGTTCGTTGGATGAACGAGTCTTTGAAAAGAGATGTTCTGCAGGTCTCCAAAGTGACAACGATGTGTTTCTTCATTGATGGACTACCTACTTCAATACAGAGTGCAAAGAAAATGCAAAAATATTGAAATTTGCCGTTGAATAACTAACACTCAATATGAAGAATTGAGTTGAAATTTTTTGTGGGGGTAAATCAGCAATACCTGGATCGAATAGGTTATTCACTTTTGTGGTAAAAAATCGACTAATAATCGGTTTCTCATGTTTTGACCACCTCAACACACAATAGTAGAATATTTGGCCTTGGGAATCCTAATATTTCCAATTTGTTCACATTTTTGAAGAGAGCTCGTTGAGTGCTATATTACGAAATATTTTAATTTGAAAAATCTCTACTGATTCCAAATAAGGAGGGTATAAACACTGTATACATAGTCCGGTGAATAAAGTGGAATTTAAGAGCTCCAGCAGACGTTTGGGTGCTGAACCCCATATGTGGGAACAGTATTCCCTAATGGGCCAGAGCTGTGCTTTGTAGATCATGAGAAGCTGGGGTTAAGTAGCTTCCCGGTTGGAATAAAAATCTGAGGTTTTGTGTAGCAGGAGAGAAATAGAGGGAAGCATTGCTTCACAGAGGCTACTTTCAATTACTTACTACTTTATATTATACTTTCGATTGAATTCAACTGATAGGGAAAATACTCACACTGTCGATTGTACCTTGATTCAGGACACTGAAGGTACCCGTGAAAGTTCCGAATCCATGTCCTGCTATTATCCACATCATACTCAACACTTTTATACCGTTGAAAATTTCGATGCGGTCCTTTGAATATTGTATGGGACTGAATAACTTTCTTCCATTTGATAATATCGAAAATGCCAGAAATAATGGATGGGATGTTTCTGAAATATATCGAGGTTGTATTTTAAATCAATCAGATAGTTATAGTATTCGATAGATTATGAATTGAGAAGTTCCACCACCACCATATAAAACAAGCAGATAATATGATTTTTTGGACTCCTTATACCATTTCTCCTCTAATTATACAAATAAGTGGATAACCATGTTGTCTGGTCATGGTGAGCCTAGTACTTGACATTTTCCATAAATTCCAAAATATATCACGCGACAAAATGGCGAACTGTAAAACAACGCTGGTGGTTAGGTTGTAAAGAGAATCTTTATTTTTATTGCCAACATTTTTTGTTGCAATGATTGTTAGATGCATTTTATATTGGAGGAGAAATCAAGTTTTTGTAATGCAGCTATTTTTATACTGCTAGGTAATTGTAACTATTCTACAAGCGCAGGCGCCCATACGCAATTTTTAGATTTCAGATAGACGCAGTGCACAAAAACGGTACCGGATGCTTACCCGCATTTAAAACCTTTCGGAAAAAATACTTTGTACCCAAAGTTTTGTAGAAAAATTAAAATGTTGGCGTGATATTCATTTATATGCCTAGCCTAGGACGCGAAATATAATTCCTTTTGATGATACAAATATTATATAGGAATAGTCAAATTGTCAGAATCAAAGATTCATAATGAGAAAAATTCTTCTACACTGTAAAAACATTTACCTACTAAAAAAGTTCTAAGCCTACATTTCAATAAAGATATAGAAGCACTATTTTTTATTATGTCAGGTAAATGAATAAACATTTTGGGCCCAATATAGTTTGGAGCAACAGAAGTCATTTTAAATTTAGCATATGGTACATGAAAAAGATTTTTGCGTCTTGTATCAATTTGATGAATAGCGCTATTTACTACAAAATTTTGTTTGTTTACAAAGCAATGTCAAAATATGAAACTGAAGGAACGAATCCTTTTGCATGCATTTCTTCTCGATACTCTGCCAATACACCTAACAATACGTTTTTGTGCGATAAATACATCTCTGGTCATTGTGGAATGACCCCAAAGGCAGACACCATACCTCAGTCTAGATCCCACCTGAGCATGATATAAACTCAGCAACTGATTTTCATCAAGCACAAAACGTAAATTCATGAAAAGATATGCCAGAGAATAAAATTTTGAAACCAACTGAGAACATAGAGATTTCCAATCCAAACACTCATCGAAATTTATCCCTAAAAATTTTACTGGATCATTACTATTTTTCAGAATATAGTTATTATGGTCGAATACAAGTTGATCTATTTTATTCTGACGATGATGAAATGAATTTGTGTCTTTTGAAACATTGAAAAATAGATCATTATCATTGAAATAATCAGATGCTAGATTTACAGAATTACTACATTTTTCGACCACACAGAGCGAATCAGGTGCCGATGCAACCAGAGAAAAATTATCTGCATAAGCAGTGATTGACATACAGTATGAATAAAATGGACCCTAAAATGGACCCTTTCGGTACTCCCATATCAACAGAGATAGGTTTGGAGGTAATCCTTAGAATTCCATCATGATTAGAATGTTGAACTGAGACGAATTGTTCACGATTTCTTAGAGAAGAAGAGATCTAATTAGAGGATAAGCCCCTTATGCCATAGTTTTCAAGAGATGACAATAATTTTGTACGATTGACACAGTCGAATGTCCTGCTCAAATCACAGAATATGACAGCAGGACATTCGCCTGCTTCTATAGATTCAATAAGTACATTGAACAGAGAAAGTAGCGCTGAACTAGTAGATTTTCCTGCTCGGAAACCATGTTGATTTACACTCAGAATATCATGTTTTTCAATGAAAACCATAAGTCGATCTAAAAATGCATATTCAAATACTTTCGAGAATGAGTACGGAACAGTTACGGGTCTATAATTCTTCAACATTTGTGTGAGTGATTAACCCACTTTTTGTCATGAGAGTTATTGTCATAATATTTTCTTTTCTGGAAATTATTTTCGGAATGAAACATTAATATTTCATTAAGATATTCAAAAGCTTCATCACAGTCATCTTTATTACATACAAATTTCCAGTCCTCATGACTTAGAGAATTTTCGAAATTCTTAGAATTGGAGTCACTGAAACTCCGCCTAACCCAGCTATATTTGGTATGTAATTCGGTAGCTTTTTGAAACATATCCAGTTCTAAAAACACGCTTCTGTGATCGGAAACAGTATTATCTTCGACAAAACATGTACCTTCATTGCTAAAATTTATGAAAATTTGATCAATAATAGTATATGAATCCTCTGTGACTCTGGTAGGCCATTCCACAATAGGCAAACAATTAACAATTGACATTACATTACACAGTTCAATAAAATGCATATTCTTTAGAACATCGAAGTTAAAATCCCCACATATAATAAACTTCATATTGGGCTCACAAAGGTGATTCAGGACAGATATCCAGTTTTTTAAAAATATTTCCTCATCTCCTGATGGAGATCTATAACAATTGAGCAAAATATTCAAAAATCCCATTTTTTTTAAACTCACAGCACATATTTCAAAATGTTGCTGTACACAGAATTTACCAACATTGATATGATTCACCTTGATACATTTTTTCGCCCATTTTTGGAATTCGAATAGCATAAAATTGTCTGAATTTCTGACAAGGTATATTTACTGATGAAATAGAAATCGAACTGGCAACCCTGGTCCGCGCGGAGTGTGAGTTGACAACTGTCATTTGCTGTTGTCAAATTGATTATTCACGAAATCCGATAGATTTCACGTATGAAAAGCACCGTGATGTCGACGAAAAAATGTAATACGCACCTCGGCGAAAAACTCTCTATTTATTGTCTCTCCTGATTTCTAGCCTCAGCTATCAATTTGCAGACTCGACTATAATAGAATGTTTTTGGCCCTTGGTACATGAATAACTATTTAGCGTGCCCAAAGAAAAGTTATCATGGAGGCCATTTCCGGCCGGGGTAAGAAAATTTTGAGGTCGACAAAAAGTTTAGCGGTCATGGTGTATGCAGTATTTTTTCGTGCAATCGTCGAAATTATTGACCTAAATAATTGAAATGACATTTTGAATGGAAACAAAATATTTTGACATGTCTTGACAAAACGAAAATATGATCGGACTATTTTCGTAGTTTTGGAATGTGAAATTCGGAAGTGGGCTTTGGTTTGGCGGCCGTTGCTTTGGGAACCGACTGAGAAGTTAGTGGATAACCAATGTTGAAAATTGCATGAAATCAATGCTTATACTCACTTTGCTCAGTTTTGTAAAGATACACATCATATGCTGTACTGACTAACATCAAACATACGATAGCTAAGAATAAACACCTGAAACAAAATTACCAGGAACGTTATCTAAATTGATTCTGGAAAAATCAAAAAAATAAATATGCCTAATTTTGTGAGGTTTTGTCGAAGTATACTCTAGAGTCACCGGATGGTATTAGTTAGATAAGTGTTCGGACACAGAAATGACAGCTAGTGTAACAGAGAGTATGTGGTTTCATTTTGCCAATCACCCACCAACGTGGTTAAGTATAATGTGGTATATGGAATCTGGAAGATGTACATAAGGAACCCTTCAAATACGTGAAAAATATAAAGAGTAACTACTTTACCTGGCACTAACTCTGTGCAAAACAACACTTTATATGAAAGCAATATTCAAACACACTGTAACTAAGAGCTACCATCAATCACAAATGCTCACAAAATCAAAAAGACGAGCTCGAACGAACGATACCAAGTGCGTTTTTTGCCTTATTTAGCGCCACAAAAACAAGGGATTTAAAGTTTTCCAAATGAACATTCTTCCTCTATCTATTAGATTACCAGGAAAACAATAGCGGATCATAGGTAGGTAACTGGCACAAACACTGATTCCTCAGAAAATGCGATACTTATTATTCGGGGCGTTCTGCTTCAATAGTCGTCCGGCGCTTTTCCATTCAAAATTGTCTGAATTTGACAATACATTTCAAGAACGTCAGAATCGAAATATGATTTCATAAAATATTTAGAAGAAAGCGTAATGCTTAGTCATTTCACGTATTGTCGGCAAACAGGGTAACAGCGTAACTTCCATTTTCAGCCGTTACTCTGTCTGCCGGAGGGTTGAGGAAGGAAAATGTCCCTTCTACATATGCATAAGAAGGGAGACTATTTTTCCACCTAAATGAACCTCTCTTTCGTTTTCAATCTCTCTATCGGCCTTTCTTGGCCAACTTCTCTTTTCCTCTTCCCCTCCAAGCACAACCTCACCATCAAGTGGGGTGGGGAAGGCAGGCCGCGGCCGCTTGACAGATGAAGCATTTTGGGACCATCTTTGCTATCTTCTGCCAGATGGGACAATTTGTGGACATCTGTGGCAGGGATGGGGCGATTTGCTGATGTCTGTCTAGGTGGTCGAGGACTGGTCAACGAGGCTCTGGCAACCTAATCCAAGCTGTGGGAACCCGTGGCGATGGATGGATGGCACCGAGGAATGGTGTCGCTAACGGGGCCTCTGGGAAACAGGGTGACATCCCAGAGTAAACAGCCTTAGCCCTGTGCAGGGGGCACCACAGGGCTGGGATCGGAATAGCAATCTTCAGGGACCTGAACGAAAAGGGTCTTTCATATTGAAGTGGCCCTTAATAGGCACCATGAGTCGCATGTGGTAAAATTGATAACGGCATGTAGGTGAGATACAATGGGCCACTAGGCCTAAGTGTCGTCGGAGACATCGGTCAGACGAGCCTACAACGGGGTGGAGTGTTTAGTGGGTATACCATGCAGGGGACTCCCACACTATCATATGGGGGATTGGACCCATATGATAAGATAAAAGATTTGAACCACCTCGACGAAAAAAAAACCTAAATGAACCTTCTTCCTAGGAAGTATATTTTTCAGAAAATTACTTGAGAGAACAGAAGAAAATTCTGCTTCCAAACAACCAAAGCTGACTCGGCCTAAATGAACCTTCCTTCCGTCATCACAGGAAATGCCTGAAACTATTGGGCAAACGGTGTACAAAATTTAGAGTTACGCTGTTTGCCGGCAATACGTGAAATGACTAGGCATTCCAGAGAATGACGAATTTCACTGTTTGGCGCCGACATGAACACCTCAGGACAGAATGCTATTTTCCCCTCGGTGCTTTGTATCTCTCGGGCTTCGCCCTCGAGCTATAAGTCGCACCTTGGAAAAAAATCTTGCATTTCTGCCCCTTGATGTATAATTTACTATAATTCAACTTGCAATGTATGCATGGATGTATGTATGTTACCTCGGGTGGAATCTTTGAACTCAATTTTGAAGTAGATATATTCAATCGATTCAGCTGAAATTTCGTATACATGTTTAGTTTGGATGACAATGCACGATAAGGTGTGTGAAGTTATTCTGAATACAATATGGCGGACTATCCAAGATGGCGGAATAGTTATTTTTAGTGGACATGGAGCATGGAACACAAGGATTCTCTTTAGTGCGCCTCAAGAGATGAAAAAAAAAAGGGAAATTATCTGCTTACTCACGTGACTATGATATTTGCAGCAGTGAACTCTTTTCCGCTTTCTTTGGTAGAGCAAAATTCGTCCAAAAAAAATAGAGGAATATTAGGGTCGATCGCAATTGCGAATATGGATCTCAAATCATCGGCAGAACATTCGTCAGGTATACATATATCCAGTTTATGTATCAACTGAAAAAAAAAGTCGAAATGAGATCATTTTATTAATCGCTCATAGGACACGACAACAATGACAATATAAGCAGGAATGGAAAACAAATGTATTTGAAAACTCAACTAAACCACCAAACCACTAACAGCCCTCAGGGGCTCACAACTTGTGAGTACCTGAATGGTGAACCCGAGGTAACCTGGCTGGATATTCACCAAACTCCAACTTGTCTTGAGTGATATCCTCATCTTTCTTCCTTTTCCAATCTATCATATCGACCTTCCTTGGCCAACTTCTCTTTTCCTCTTCCCCTCCAAGGTCAACCTCACCATCAAGTGGTGTGGTGAGGACAGACCGCGACAGCTCGACAGATGAAGCATTTTTGGACCATCTTTGCCATCTCCGTGCCAGATGGTACAATTATTTGTGGACATATGTGGCATATGAATGGGGCGATTTGCTGATATCTGTCTGGGTGGCCAAGGACTGGTCAACGAGGCTCTGGCAACCTGATCCAAGCTGTTTGGACCAGTGGCTGACGTAACCCCTGGGAAACAGGGCGAAATCTCAGAGTAAACAGCCCTAGCCCTTTGCAGGGGACACCACAGGGCTGGGCCAATCCATTCCCCCGTCACTCGTAGAAAGAAAACTTTTGACCTTCTTCGTAAATGAGAACAGGGATCGGAAGAGTAATCTTCAGGAACCTGAACGTGAATGGTATTTCATATTGAAGTGACCTTGATGAGCACCATGAGTCATTAAGGTAAAATTGATAACGGCATGTAGATATGATATATAAAGGGCCACTAAGCCTAAGTGTCGTCCGAGACGGACGGAGTGGAGTTTTTGGTGGGTATACCCTGGAGGTGATCCGGCTCGAAGGACCATGATTTGAGTTCACCAAATTTGACTAATGAAATTTCGTTCGATGGTAGAGAATGCTCACCTGGATTGCGTAACGTGGTTGCGTCGGGCTAGCCCTGGCTGGATACTGTCCTGGCTTACTTCAATGGGTTCAAGAGGGAGTGAAACACTACAATTTTGGAGTTTTTTATGACTGAATAGGTTCATGATTATAGAGAGGCCGGTAGCGATATACACTCGATTCTGAGTTGATAATAATCTTCTCCTTTTTCCGGCGTTGCCAAACTTTATAGCAAACTCTACCATGTAAAGACACGATAAATTATTCTCATTATAATTATCGAAGTTCGTTTCAATAAATGAACCACTACTAATTATTATTTTGAAATATTTCTAAATTAATTGAGAAGCTACAAAACAAAACACCCATTGTCTAAGAAAAAGATGCTGACTAGACAATAGTCTTCCTTATTCCTAGATGCACTTGTATACCGATAACATCATGTTATATTATGTATCACTCTTCTTCTTCAATAAAATGATTGTTTTTAAAAAGCAAGTCCTTCTGTCTCAAAAGTTATTTCACGTTTGACATAAACCAGATTCATATTGATGGAAATCAATTTGAAATTATTTTAATTGGTTGCTGAATGATTTCAAGAGAGTTGATCAAAATTACGTTTGGTCCAACTTGATTTCAAATTGTGGAATGTTTAGTTCCGAAAATAGTGTTACTGAAGTAGGTATTTTTCATGCATAATCATAGGGAGGCTTATATCAAAAATTCAGATTTCGAATTCCGAATTCGAGTTCAATTAAAGAGGGCTAACATTATTTATCATCCACCAAAACGCGCTACTGAAACGTGAGGTCAGGGTTGGTAGAACTGATGAATATACTTCTTATTTTCGATCGTATTCACCAACTTACTACTTCATTCAGACTGCTAGTAGTCATATCGCAGCGACCCGAACATGTAGGGTCAGTTGCTCGCCTGAAAACGCTTCTGCTCAATACGCAGGAACCCCCAAACTGTAGTTCATGACTTTGACGTGGTATCGAAATCAACCTAGCATCCATTTTGTTCATAGGCGGCGGCAAGGTGGATGGCGTTGGCTTAAGTGTTTTGTTTATGTCATAAGGGGACGGCTTTATAAAAATAATGTAAAAATAGAGTGGTGATATTATTTTTTTTATTTTATTCTCGCTAATCCTAGGAAATATGAAGTGCTTTGTTCTTTGGTGTATGGAATCCACGATTGATAATACTAATAAAGATGTTTCCCCTCATCGGTAAGTTTGTTGGTGATGAATAATTAATTATTTTTTCAATTTGCTTTCATTCAGCTTTGAAGAATTTGAGTGAAGGCGTGAGGTGCCAAACCTGCTCTTCTATTTTAGACTATTTTGGATTAACAGTTTACTCATTCAATAATGATTCTAGAATTCCTATATAAATAGGAAAAATGAATGGTCTGTAGCTATTAGGAGACCATTGGACCTTAGCCACTCAGAAAGGATAATTATTATGTTCAAACCATTTTACACCAGACAGCTTCCTGGAAAATCCAGGACATGCAAATTCGACGTTTTTTGAAATGAAGTTCTCATATCTGAGTATTACTTTATGTATGGTTTATCAACCTTCCATAGTAGACCCCCCAAACCTTTTTTCTTCAATACGCCTATGTTCCTCGGATTCATGAGTGTAACCTATCATATCCTAAATGTGCATGAATAAGTTTCACCAGTTCGATCTCCTGAGTGGCTCACCTGTTTCCTCATAGAATTGGAGCTCCAGATTAGTCTATAAGTCGGTGATCGTGTTTTGGCATATATCTACTATTTCTATACAGGGCCTATTAGAAGTATCTGGAGAACGAAGAGACAGAACATTCTGAAAATTTGGATGCTTTGATAATTGAACATTCTCTATCCGCCTTGAATATTTTCATCGGTACAGTGTTGCCAGTTCTACCAGAAACAACTAGCAACTTTGTTGTTTCAGAAGGAACACCCTGTATTTTATTGCATTTTTAGATTCTTCCTGAAGAGCTGATTTCATTAATGCGTCACACTTGGGTTCTAGCAGGAATTACTACAGAGATATAAGGTGTTCAAAATCGAGATTTTTAAATTTTTTGGTGTTGATACTATTCATTATCGATCAAAACGGCTTACATATCCCTATCTCAACTTCTGATTCACTATCTACAGGAACTTAATTGGAAAAAATACAGGGTGCTTCAAGATTCAGAATTCTGATCACTCTGTATCTGTTCCAATCAAATGTCAGTAGATAGTGATTCGGAAGTTAAGATATAGGGACATGTGAGCCGTTTCGATCGATAATGAATAGTTTCGACACAAAAAAATCCTAAAATTGAACAATCTCGATTTTGAACACTATATCTCTGTAATCAATCCTGCTAGACTCCGAATGTGATGCATTGATGAAATCAGCTCCTCAGGAAGAATTTGAAAATGCAATAAAATACAGGGTGCTTCATTCAAAATATCGAAGTTGCTAGTTGTTTCTGATAGAAGTGGCAACACTGTATTGATGAAAATATTTTAGGCGGATGGAGAATGTTCAATTATCAGAGCATCCTAATTTTCAGAATGTTCTGTCCTTCCGTTCTCCAGATACTTCTAATAGGCCATCCACCGTGGATTACCCTGTATATGACTTATCGCCTAGACGATATCTCAACAAAAATGGGACCAAAATGAGAGGTACTTTTTGAATCTATAAAGACGGAAAGTGAAGGATAGAAAATTTCAAAGAAGTAGCCATATTGTCGTATTATTTTTCCCTACCTCGGCATCTAGGCCTATTGGTCGATTTCGTTACCTATAGAGACAGTTGGTCCCGCTTTGAGGACAGCTATGCTTCATATTATATGAGTAGTAGATATATGTGTTTTAGCATCTTCTTCTCCGTGATTGTGAGAATTGGTCATAAAGTTTCAGTTGAGAGTGAGAAAACGCAAGCCGAGTTCTGAGATAACTTAAGGTTTTCTATTTGTTCGAATATTCTACAAAATTTTTTCCGAATATTTTTGATAAAACAGGCCATCGTGTTCAGGGCTATCCAGAAAATTTTTGGGATTTCTGACTTTGACACTGACCTCACGTTTTAGTAGCGCCAACTGGTGATAATGATCATGTTAGCCCTCATTATTCAGGGTGCGTACTGCATATACTATACCGGGTGTCCCAGAGATTTTGGGCAAGCAGATGATATCTAGGTTATCTAACATACAAAAAAATTCAAAATATCATGAGATATATGGAAGCAAAAGTTCTCCAAGACAATCAAATCGAATCACCCTCATGTCAAACAATCAAGTAGAAAGCACTCTTAACTTTGGTTTTTTAAATTGCACTCCCATGTGTTTTTCGGTTCATCTTGTAGAACTTTCATTTCTAAACTCATCAGGGATTGATTTCATTTCATTTCATTTATTTATACTGCTAAAACAACAGGCTTCAGCCCAATTACAGAATAACAGTTTTATCACATACAGTACACATTCAGTACACACTTGAAATTACTTCCGAAATTACCTAAAAAAATTAAAAACAAAGAAAGATTCACAACACAGTCCACTAACATGGTCACGTTAATTATTATAAAAAGTGGAAAATATACAATTAAGTAGAAAATAATTAATAATTAGCAACAGTGCCTTTTATTCTGCTACTACTAGAAATGAAAATGTCAGTATCCCAGCAGTTAATATGCTCATTTACAGATTTCTGGCATCTTACAAAAGGTGAGCAGGATGACACATCTATATAAAAAATATGATTTCGCTTACGTAATCTTACTTCAGGTACATGTAGTTTTATTGCAAAGAGTAAATCAGGTACATTAAGCTTATCATTAACTATGTCTGATACAAATAGCACATCCGCGATATTTCTCCGGAGCTGTAGTGTGTTTTGATTCAATTCTGATAGTTGAGTTTTGTATGAAATCATTAAAGTGGATACTCGATATTTCCTGTAATAAAGACTCCTCATGAACTTTTTTTGTACCTTCTCAATCATTTCTGAATGAACAACGGTATGTGGATTCCAGATGACTGAAGCATATTCTAATTTTGGTCTTACGAAGGCATTGTATAAAAGTATTGCGATATTAGAGTTA